TACTGCTGTGGGCAACAATCCTTAGAAGAAATGGAGTAGCCCTCATAGGCAGCAAGAGTCTGCAGTACTTGGGTGTAATCTCAAAAACAACAGAATGATCTCTGTTCGTTTCCAAGGCAAACCATTCAATATCACAGTAATCCAAGTCTATGCCCTAACCACTAATGCTGAAGAAGCTGAAGTTGAATGGTTCTATGAAGAACTACAAGACCTTCTAGAACTAATGCTACAAAAAGATGTTTTTTCTTCATTATAGGGGACTGGAATGCAAAAGTAGGAAGTCAAGAGATACCTGGAGTGACAGGCAAGTTTGGCCTTGGAGTACAAAATGAAGCAGGGCAAAGTCTAACTGAGTTTTGCCAAGAGAACGCACTGGGCATGGCAAACACCCTCTTCCAACAACACAAGAGAAGACTCTATGCATAGCCATCACCAGATAGTCAATACTGAAATCAAATTGATTATATTCTGATGTGAGGAACTGAGTCATTGGAAAAGACCCTGATGCTGGGAAAGATTGAAGGCAGGAGGAGAAGGGGATGACAGCAGATGAGATGGTTGGATGGCATCACTGGCTCGATGGACAGGAGTTTGAGCAAGCTCTGGGAGTTGGTGATGGACAGGGAAGCCTGGCGTGCTGCAGTCCATGGGGTCACAAAGAGTTGGACACAACTGAGTGACTGAACTGATCTGAATTTTGTGTTATTAGCATATTTAATGCAATGGATGAATTGTTTCCCCACCCCCCTGTACAATTCATATGCTGAAGCCTTAACCCCCAAAGTGACGGTATTTGGAGATGGGGGCCTCTAGGTCATTAAGATTAAATGAGGTCATAAGAGGAAGGCCCTGGTCCAAAAGGATTTGTGTCCTTACCTGCTAAGAAGAGACCCCAGAAAACTTGTGTGCCCCCGCTCACCTCTGTGAGCACATAGGGAAGGCCCACATGAGGTCACTGTGAGAAGGCAGCCATCTGCAAGCCAGGGAGAGAGTCCTCACTAGAAACCAACCAAGTTGTCAGCTTGACCTTGGACCTCCAGCTTCCAGAGCTGTGAGAAAATAAATGGCTTCCTCCTGGCTTGTCCTGGCGTCTTGGCTTCCTCTTCTGTCAAGTGAATGGACAGTGAAGACCCCTGCAGAGTTTGTGGGGATCCAATGAGGAGGCAGATCTAAGTGTTCAATGCAATGACTGACACACAGTAGGTGTGCAACAGTAAGAGTGATGGTCTTCACAGAACACGTAGATTGTGCTTACCATGTGCTGGGCATGACCAAGCACTTTTAAAAGTGTGTGGCATTTAGAAAAGTGGCAAATGGCTCCTAGTAAGTACTATGCAGGTGTTTATTAAATATGAAAAAGCAAAAATATATGACACTGAAAGATGAACTCCCCAGGTCAGTAGGTGTGCAATATGCTCTTGTTTATGCTAGGAAACGCAGTCTTCTGTATTTGGTTATGACAGCCCAAGCAGACTAATACCTTTAATCTTTGTAAGAACCGAGAAGCAGTAGGTACTCTTAATACTCTCATGTCTACAGAGGAGGAAACTGACACATGGAGATTCTGAGGAGGCTGAGAATGTAAATAAGGAAATAGTACAGTGAATCTTGATCCACACCATCCCCTCCCCCTTTTGGCAAACTCCTATGGGTCCTTCAAAGCCCTACTCCCACATTACCCACTCTGGGAACTCCTAGGCATGGTTAGTCCTTGGGGCTAAAAAGGGGAGGTAGAGAGGTCAGGGAGAAGTATTTAGACCTGGGAAAGTGGAGCATCGAGAGAAAGGAGGACCTGATGGAGGTTGTCAGATGAGCAAGAGAATTGGAGAGAAGGTTTGCAAGAGAATTGGAGAGAAGGTTTGCAAGAGAGTCCCTGGGTTGGCTGTCAGGAAGGTGTGAAGGGGAAAGCTCTTGGTCCTTCCTCTTGTCATGGATGACTCTGTCCTGTGGCGTGCCCTCCAAGGCCCAGCTCAGCCTCCAGCTTTCTTGAGGGTAGCTGTGTGGCATATAAGTTAAGAAACAGACCGAGGGCCCACGGTGCTGGTCTGACTCCTGGCTCCGCTACTTATCTGCTATGTTGTTGTTGCTGTTTTGTTGCTCATTTGTGTCGGACTCTTTGTGACCCCATGGACTGCAGCACGCTAGGCTTCCCTGTCCTTCATCACATAATGACTTCTCTATCCTTCAGCTATGTAATCTCAAGCAAGTTAACCCCTCATGCCTCAGTTTCCTTGTGGGGATAAAATGGGGGTATCAGAGTACCTGTCTCTTAGAGTAGTCCTGAGGTTTAATTAATACATGGCACATAGAAAATGCTTGATAAATATTAGCTTATAACCTCATCTTGGGTAACTCCATGGTATTCTCTTTCCTCAGAATTCCAATGAACTTGAGTATAAAGCATGCAATTCAACCCAACGGCATTGATAATAATAATGAACCATTATTGGGCACTTACTTTTGGTTAGGCTCTATGCCTGGTCCTTCATGTACAGTGTTCCACTTAGATGTAATAATCCCATGAGGTTGATACTACTAACATGCCCATTTTACAGATCAGAAAATTGAGATCTCTTTAAAATGTCTAAAATTACATAGCTAACACATGGTAGAATGGGGATTTGAAGCTAGGCAATCTTAACTCAAGCCCATGTGATTCATTCTAGTTTGTTAATCATTCACCCAATATTGATAGATGGCTGCTCTGTGCCAGCCACAGTGCTGGGTATCAGGGATACAGAATTAAAAGACACACAGTCCTGGCCCTCAGGGAACTCACAGGGTGGGGTGGAGAAGACAGACTTGGAGTTAGATACCTTAGAATATTGATGATGTGAAAGGAATAGTGCATAACCTCATTTCTGTGTTAGATTCATTAGAGGCTGTGTATGTGTGTGTGTGTGCTCAGTAAGTGGCTGACTCTTGTGATCCCATGGACTATAGCCCTCCAGGCTCCTCTGTCCATGGGACTGTCCAGGTAAGCATACTGGAATGGGTTGCCATTTCCTCCTCCAGAGGATCTTCCCAACCCAGATATCGAACCTATGTCTCTCACGTCTCCTGCATTGGTAGGTGGTTTTGTTACCGCTAACCCACCTGGAAAGTCCTTTTATTAGAGGCTATGTTTATTTAATCACAGACAGTTATTGAGCATTGGAGCTCTGTGATAAATAATGCTCTCTCTTCTCAAAGACAAGGCAGACGGATTCCTAGAGTGAAAAAAAATGACACAAAAAGCACAGCTTTGACATTATTTTTAGACTTCCAAGTAAATCTGAAGTTGTTGCATAGGAGTATTACTGGCATCGTGGTTAATTTCATACAGTTCCTCGAAAGTCATAACACTCCGGTAACCGTCAATGCCTTCTAACTGGCCTGGACAAATTTAGCTAAATTCTGTCTGATGTGAAGGATGCACGGTAAGTTAGAATTCAGTGATGCCAGGTGATGCATATATAGAGTAGGGAGCAATTAACTTTGGGGCTTCTAGGAGGAGGAGACATTTGGCTTGAGTTTTGAAGGCTATGTAGGAGTTCTCTGTGAAAAGAAGAGGGGAAAAGTTCCTTGAAAGTGGGGAAGAGAGTGAGAAAAGCACCCTGGATGTTTGGGGATGGGTGGAAATCAAGTGAGGCTGAAGTGTTGGGTTTACAGAGGGTGGCAAAGGCAGATGAATAGCTGGGTCTGGGACACAGAGGGCCTTGAATGTCATGCTAAATGGCTTGAAGTTAACCCTATAAACATTGGTGTGTGTGTGTGTGTGTGTGTGTGTGCATGGAATTTTTTAGAGAATGATACGATCAGACTTATGATTTGTAACCATGGCTCTGGGAATCTGCAGGGAGAGAGTTGGTGCCAGGGCAACCAATTCCCCAACCAGACTGTAAGTTTCTTGGGTGAAGCGCTAAGTCAGTATCTTTCCCTCTGGTATTTTTCCGTAACGCCTAGCAGGTGTGGGGCATGTAGCTGGTGCTCAACAAATGCCTTCCCTATGAAATCCATGCATGTTCCAGGACACCCATGCATGCTGGTGGGTTTTAGTAGCACCCATAGTCTGCTCACGGTGCTGTCCATGGTGCTAATATGAGCTCCAAGGCTGCAAACCCCAGTGGGCTCCCTGGTGGCAGTGTGGGGTGTGTGTGTGTGTGTGTGTGTGTGTGTAGAATGAGGTGGGGAAGTAGACCTTCAACATCTGTCTCTTGGGATCAAGGCAGGGTCCCAGTTGCCCCAGCCTCAGAAGGGCTTCCCGGGTGCCAACAAAATCTGCCTACGTCACCTGGTTAAGCCTTGGTGTGTAGGAACCTGGGGCAGGAAATGAAGTCAGACAGAAGGGGTGGGACCAGAGTTAGCAATGGTCTTCCTGCCATGCTTGAGAGTAGTCAAGATCTGTAGAAAGTCAGTGACGAGCTCACATGTGTCCCTGAAAGGTTGTTCCGGTGGTAGCAGGGAGGATGGACTGGAGACTGAAGGAGGCTCCGGAATCAGGAAGGAACCAGGCAGGTCTTCCTGGAGAAGGTGGGACTTGAGCAGACCCTTGGAGGATTCTTAAAGAGGAAGAGGGGCAGGCCAGGCAGGGGAATAGCAGGAGCAAAGGCAGAGAGGTCAGACTGGCTAAGAGGAAGAAGAGACCAGACTGCCTTTCTGGTCCCTCTGCTCCCCACCTCCTTGCTGGGGCCCTTCTGAGCAGGGAAGGGACCGCTCTGAGATGGAGAGCTATATTTCTGGGTGCCTCTGGGCTGAGGGAGGGGGCGAGCTGCTTGAAGCCTCGAAAGGTCGTTCCATTGTGTGAGAGGCCGGGCCAGGGCAGCGGAGGCGGGTCCATGGAGCCCTTTGTCTGCAAGCCACCCCCCACTCCCCAAGCACTCAAGCAGCCTCCACAGTCCTCACTGGCCTTGGATCCGAGTTTTGTCATAGAGGCAGGTTGCTTTGCCTTGGGGGGCCCTGATGTCATAGTGGAGGGAGGGGGCAGGGGCAGGAGGTGGACTTCAGTGCTGACCAATGAGTGATAAGTTGCCTCTTGCCCTTGAGGTTCATCGAACCACTAATTCATAAAATCTTTTAACATTACGATTCACAGACCAACGGATGGAACCTTCTAGCACCTGAGAATCGTAGACTAATGGAATCTTTTTAGAATCTTTTTATGAGCAGAGTCTTTCATAACAGACCCTATGGGAACTATAGAATCCTGGAGGATAACAGAATCTTAAAAATCATAGACTCTTCCTTTTAAAGGGTTGCAGTGGGGATAAAATGAGATATTATGTGACCAACACATAGACCAGTCCTGGAGTATTGTAAATGGTCCCTAAGTGTCAGCTGACCCAGGGATGGGGTGAGCTGCATGCCTCTATTGTGAGGAACCTCAGGTCTGGAAAGGTGACGCAACATCCCCAGGGGCACACAGCTAGGAAGTCAGTGGTGACACAGAGTAACCACGCCTGGAGGGGACCCCTGGTGGGCTGGGGCCCTCTGATGATGAGCTCCCCTATGTCGGAGCCAGCTCATTCTGTGTCTGAATTAGGGTCTCTGAGCAAGAGGCTCCTTGGTGGGGCTGAGGCTGGGAGGCAGAGAAGAGGTGGCCAGGAATCCAGGCTTCGACCTAGCCCTCACTCTCTGCAGCAAGGTCTGTGGAACAAAGTCCCTTAATCTCTGGGTTTCCTTCTTTGCTTTCAACACTGGGGGAACAGCATGGCAGGCTCTGAACTCAGGCAGCCCATGGCCCTCAGGTCCTAACTGTTTGTGTTCCTGAGCAGATGACATCACTTCCTCATGAGTGCAGTGAGGAGGAGGAGGATTGAATTGCCAGGAGGACTGAAAGAGTAAGACTTGGTAAGGCAGCATCATGCCCCAGCTTTGTCGCTCACGGGTCAGTGGTTCTGCCAAGGCTGAAGGTTACTTCAGGTACCTCAGTTTCCTTGGCTGCAAAATGGACACGACAGGAATGCTCATTAGATTAAGTGGGTTAATACAAGTGGAGCACTTAGACCAGGGCCCTTCAAGCAGGGAGTGTTTAATGAGTACCCACTATCATTGCTACAGTAAGAGGCTCAACCATTGTGAGCAATTATTGGTGGTCAGCGAGGAGCTTGGAAAGTGTTGCAAAATTGTGTGTGTGTGTGTGTCCCTGAGTGTGGGTGATGATGCTTATTAAAAGCAGAGCCTGTAGCCCCAGAGTTAAGCTGTGTGCCTGGAATAGCTGCTTCTCCTGGCGGCCTCCCCAGGGACGGGACTGTAATGAGTGTTTACGGAGCCCCCGCCAGGCAGAGATGAGAGGCGCTGAGGAGCCAGCTCTGAGCCAAGCAGCGGCTGGGAGCCCAGTGTTATTATATTAACAAGCATCAGGGTGATGATTACCATTAATGAGATTATTCACCAGGCGGCCTCCCCTCTCCCCAGGCCTCCTGCCTCCGGCTGGCGAGGCAGACAGGCATTCTCTGCCCCGTCCTCCGCCCCGTCCCTCTCTGTCTTGGGGGAAGAGGAGAGGGTTCCCTGGTGTTGCGTGTGATGCCAAGCCCACAGGTGACGTTCTCACCTCACCTCTTCTCTCCAAGCCCCTGGGGGCAGGTATTGGCACTCTTCGTTTTAGGATGAGAAAACTGAGGCTCTGTGAGGGTGAACGGGGGTCCTCTCAAGCCTGAATCCAGAGCACATGTATTTTCATTACTCCTTTATATGATTCTCAAACATTTACAAAGGAGCGATTTACCTGGATAGGCACTGTCTGTGGATTAACCCTTTAATTTTCACAACGACCTCATGAGGAAGGTACTGTTGGGATCGCCCTCCATGGTGGGGAATTGAGGCACAGAGCGGCTGAGTAACTTGCCTCAGTGTCTTCTGCCCCCAGTGGGTCCCTCTCCTCCCAGCAGTGGAGATGAAGGTGGGGCTCCCAAACGCTTTGTTTTTCTCTGTGTAGCAGGCCGAGCACAGGGCTCTGTGACCGGGGGCTGGGGGGCAGTTTTCTCCTTGCCCCTTGTCTCCACTAGCCCCTCAGGCAGGCGTAGTCCTGGGCACAGATCTTTGGTGCCACCAGCCACGCAGCTGAAGCTGCCACCTGCTCACTTAGGTGACAACCAGTATACTGACCCTCCCTTGGACCAAATATCAACCCCTCTATATATACTTGTCGAGGTCAGTTTCACTAATTTCACTCTCACTGACAGGCTGCTGTGTGTCCAGCCCTGTGCCAGGCCCTAGGGACACAATGAGAGAGATGGACTCACCTTATGGAATTTTCAGTCTTGGGGATAAATCAGTGTGGGCACATTTTAAAATTATAGTTGGACTGAGCACTCCAAAGGGCAGGCCAGGGGCCAGGGGAAGGGAGGTGGGGTGAGGAATGGGCCGGCCTATGGAGGGACTGCTTTATACTTGAGTGGAGATGAGTCAGGGAAGACCCCTCTCCAGAAGTGACATTCTAGGTGAGACAGACAGGCTGCGCCTGAGCTGGGCTGTCAGAGAGGGGCGTGTGGAGCATTCCCGGCAGAGGGGAGGGAACATGTAGAGCTGAGATCCCGAGGAAGCCTCGCCTGCCTAACCAGCCCCACACCAACACACAGGTGCCCCCCCGGGCTCATTCATTCATTCATTCAATGATCATTTATCAATTGGAAATTTCTAATTGAGATGGTTCACCTTCTCCTCCGTTCCTTTATCCTCTATTCCCTGATGCCCAATCCCTTTCAGGCTTGGTGTTGGGCAGGGGGACACAGAATTAAATCAGTTGTGGTCCCTGTCCTGGCGTTGCTCACAATCTAGGGTGGGAGATGGGCCCTTACACACAACACCATGTCATCAATGGACACTGAGACCCTTAATCCAGGCTGGGGCGGCGGTGGTCAGGGAAGATTATCCAGAATTGCAGGCAGGAAAGGGGAGGTGGGTAAAGGTTCACAGTAGGCTCAAAAGTACAAAGCCCCAGAATAAAGTTGCTGGGAAAGGCCCTGAATGTCAGGCTGAGGCAGAGACTGGCTGTCCTCTAATATTCATATTCCTTTCTTTCCCCAGTAGTGAGACATGGCTGCTTGGAATAAAGACTACATTTCCCAGCCTCCTTTGCATCTAGGGGAGCCATGCGATTCACGGGGCCAATAGGATAAAGCAGTAGTATGGTAGGTAGTTTTAGGTTTGTTCCCTTAAGGGACAGTGGTCTGCCCTCTCCTCTACCTTTTCTCCCTCCCATTGGCCAGAAGGTGAACTTGTCTCGCCTTGGACCATGTGAACCAAGACAACAGCCCAGGAAAAACAGAGCAACAAGACAGAAGCAACCAGCCACTGGACTGTTTATGTATGAATTATTTTATGAGGGACAAATAAACTTTCTTGTTCAAGCCAGTGTTATTTGGCGTCTCTGCCTTAGAAGCTAAACCTGTATCCTAGCTAATAGCCAGGCTAAAGGCTATTATCCCTAGAGCACAGAGATTGGTCAGAGTTCTGTGTGGTTGTGGCAGGGGTAGGAGGAGTGGGTTTGACACTGTCAGATTTGCATTTTTGGAAGAACTGTCTGACTGCGGAGCGCAAGATGGTCTGGAAGGAAGAGAAATAGGAGGCCAGGAGACCAGAGAAGGTGTCGATGCCTTAGAATGGGGCAGAGATACCCAGGTCTGACCCTGAGCAGGCCTGCCCTATCAGTCAGTTCAGTCGCTCAGTAGTGTCTGACTCTTTGCAAACTCATGGACTGCAGCGTGCCAGGTCTCCTTGTCCATCACCAGCTCCTGGAGCCTGCTCAAACTCATGTCCATCGAGTTGGTGATGCTATCCAACCATCTCATCCTTGCATTTCCTTCTCCTCCTGCCCTCAATCTTTCCCAGCATCAGGGTCTTTTCTAAGGAGTCAGTTATTTGCATCATGTGGGCAAAGTATTGGAGGTTCAGCTTCAGCATCAGTCCTTCCAATCAATCTTCAGGACTGATTTCCTTTAGGACTGACTGGTTTGACCTCCTGGCAGTCCAAGGGATTCTGTAGAGGCCTGCCCTATATGTTCCTGCAAACCTAGGCCTGGAAATCAGTCTTGCAGAATCTGGCCTTCAGCTTCCATTGAGGCCCCACTCTCCTCTGGGGCTTGGTAAACTTGAGATGCACACTTGCACAAAAGCACTCACAGACTCAGAAAGAGGTACAGGCACACACAGAGAGGCACAGCTGAACTCACGCAGAGACACAGATATATAGAAACAGACACAGTAGTCACACACACACACAAACACACACACACAAACACACACACACACGAGTCTGTCTGGAGGCCTCTATGGCCCTGCCCATGGCTGGCTCCACTAGAGCTAGCCATGGGGTTAGCTCTTACATGGGGCTACCCTCCAGAAAAAAGGCTGGAAGCCCTCACCTGGCAGGCTGAATGAAGCAGATTCCTCCCGGTGTGGGAATGTTTTCTTGTGCCCAAACAGTGGCTGAGAGCCAGCTTGTCCTATGGCTCCTGTGGCCATTCACATGGCCACACTTTGACATCAGGACAACAGACTGGCCCTGCAGGCCAACAGTTCTGGAAAACACAGAGGTAATAGGGCCTTGGAAGAGGAATTCTCACCCAGTTGTCTTTCTTCAGGCAACACAACTGGAGCACCACTGTCTCCACTCACGGCATCTCAGAACCATTATGACAGGCATTTGTCGGATTATATGTATGGGTGCAGGGCCATGGGTCAGGTGTTGTGGGGCACACCCACAGGGGTGGGGGGAGAAGGGGAAATGGCACATCATTTATTTTTGGATCCTGACACATTCCAAAATGTTTATTCGTGGCTGGATCCCCAGTAGTCCTTAGCACAGTATTTAGCACACACTAGATGCTCAATAAATGTATGTAGGATAAAAGTAACAAAGGAGATGACTATTAGTTTCATTTTGCAGACATGGAAACTGAGGTTCAGAAAGGCAGTTTGCTCAAGGTCATGAATCAACCAAGAGGCAGAGATGGAAATTGAACCCAGGAACTGTGGGAGTCTCAAGCCCCAGTTTAGGCATCATGTCTCATTGCTCATCCAAGTTTACTCAGACTGAATTGAGTAAACCATGAGTTCTCAGGCAGGTCTTACTGCCCCCAGTAAGCCAAGGGCCCTGAAGGTTCTCCAAGTCCATCTTCACTATTTATTCTAAGTCTCAGTTGCCTTGTCTGTACAATGGGTTGAATAATTGGATATCAGGTGTGAGGGCATGAGATTGATTTATAAGAATCGTAGCTTTCCTTTTCCTCACTGATGTGGGCTTGTATTTCGAGCCCCTATCTCATTGTAGCAGAAACAGAATCTCAGTCATCTGGGGGCCCCTAGCTGGGGGCTGTGTCTGCAGCGGGGAGGGCACAGATGACTTTTCAGTGGCAGGTGCAGGGGTGAGGGCATACCCTCTGGCTTGTCATTACCCCACACTGGCCCCCACTGAGATGCTCTCCTGCCTACTTGGCCTTTGAGGTCAGCCCTCCGATGTCACAGCCACACTGTCCCCTGTTCCCAACTCCTAGTCTTCCAGCTTGGCTCACTCTCAGCATCCCCTGGATGTATGTTCCAAGTCCAGCTTCAACACTTACTTAGCAGATTTCTCCACCTCAATTTTCCTTATCTATGAAGTGGGTATAATAGCGCCACCTGCTTCCTAGGGCTGCTTGTCAGAATAAACAAGTTAATTGACACAGAAGGCTTGAAACAACACCTGGAGCATCATAAGTGCTCAGTTAAGTTTTGTTTTGTTTTTCAGCTGTTACTGTTACCCATCCTGTTCCAAGGGCTCAGCTCAGAACAGGAGTGGGGGCAGTGGCCCCGGTCTCAGGTCACCTATATGCCTGCCCTCTCTTACTGACTGGTGAGGACAGATAGGACCGCCCAGGCGGGGCCCATCCTGGTGATGAGGCAGCACGTGGGGGGCTGTGCCCAGGCAGGGGTGGAGGGGCCACTTGCAGGAAACATCAGTCCACGTGCCCTTCATCTGCAGACCGTTGGTGACAACTTTCTCTCTGGAGCCCGCCTCCTGGCCCTCTCTGCCACCCCACCCTGCCTGCACTGCTGGAAGGAGAGTTTCCATAGTATTGATCTGAGCCCAGCCCTGCCCTGCTCCCACACCCTCCAGGGTGCCCCATCACCCACTGGGTCCCATCCAGAAACCTTAGTTTGACTTTCAAGGTCCAACATGACCTTACCCCGCACTGCGCTTTGTTTAGCCTTCATCCCTGTATCTATCTCAACATGCTCCCTTCTTTCAGACTCCACACTTCTGCTGTTGCTCTTCCCAGCCGGACGGTCCTCTCCTGTGGCTCCAACACTTAAAATGCAGCCTATCCTTCCAGATCCAGCTACACGGCTGGCCCTGGGCCTGGCGTGATGATGCAGCCGGGGCCAGGCTGGCTCAGCAGTGGGAGGGCAGGGACAGAGATCCAGCAGATCCTCTCTTCCCAGAAAAAGGCTCAGGAAAGGTTTCCATGAAGACAAGAGGAGGACCAGGCAGGCAGATGGGCTGTTGGCAGGTGGCCGGTGGGTCTTGGCACAAGGACTGCTATTTTGGAAGCAGGGAGGCTAGTGGGTAAGTGATTTGGACTTACTGGGTTTGAGGCTAGCTTCCTTTTGGTGATCTCAGACCAGTTGCTTTACCTTCCTGAACCTGTTTCTGCCTTTTTGAATGGGGATTGAAGTAGTTGCTACTTCATAGGATAATTGTGAGGACAGAATGATAGGATAGTCATTTTGTGTGTAGACAGTGTGTAGCATACAGTAAATGCACAACAGATGATGGCTTTTATTAGCGCGGACTCTGGGTGTTTGACAGGTACAAGTCAGGATTTCGGACCCACAGGTCCTGGGCTCCAGGCAGACAGTCAAAGCTGCAGCTGGTGGCTGGGATGGGAGAACCAAAGTAACAACAATAGCAGCACATACTGTTTGAGGACTTTCTAGGGGCTTGTTTCTGATTGGGCGTTTTGTAGAAATTACTCATGAAATCTGCATCACCATCCAGCAACACGAGTATCTTCTCATGGCCCCTGCTGGAAAGTGAATCGTGTCTCCATGAAAAACATGTTCAAGCCCTAACCCCTGCTACCTGGCCTTATCTGAATAGAGGGTCTTTGCAGATGTAATCACATTACAAAGGGGTCAGATGAGATTAGAGTGGGCCTTAATCCGCAGATTGGTGAACTTGTAAGAGAGGGAAGTTCGGATACACACACAGAGGGAAGCTGGCCATGTGAAGTGGAGGCAGCCACTGGACTTTCACTGCCGCAGGCCACGGAAGGCCAAGGAGGGCTGCGACAGTCAGAAGCTGGGAGAGAGGCATGGAAGAGATTCTCCCTCAGGGTCCTCACTTTGACATCAGACTTCTGGCCTTCAGAACTGGGAGACAATAAATATCCATTGTTTGAAGCCACCAAGTTTGTCGTGATTTATTTGCAGCAGACGTAGGAAATGAACACAGCCCCATCTCACAGATGAGGAAATTGAAACTCAGAGAGGTTAAGTCACCAGCCCAAGGCACACAGCTGGTAAGTATCAAGGGCAAGGTCTGAACCTGGGGCTGCCTTTCTCCAAAACTCTTGCTCCTAATCAGGGGCATGTTGGCCTGATCACTTTGTTTTGTGGTTCTTTGTGCCCAGTGCCCACAGCATGGGTCCCTGTGTACCCAGGGATGCATCAAAGGGCTGCTCAGTGTGGGCAGACTAAAGGCAGACAAGGGGTCCAGCTGGAGACTCCGAGCCTTGCGCCTCAGGGAGTGCCCTGTGAGTAACATTGTAGGTCATCGGGCCTACAGGCTTCAGGCTCTTTCTGTGTCTGGGGGGGGTCCGAAGGAGCATCTAGCCGGTGCTGAGGGCCCTAGATGAGGCCAGTGCATGGTCTCAGAAGACTCAGGTTCTAATCTCAGCCTTCCTTCTCTCCTGCCTCATGTCCTTGGGTAGGGACCTCACCTCTCCATGCCAGTTTCCTCATGGGCACGAAGCTCTCGGGGGTAGGCGGCAGGGCAGGAGACAAAGAACCATTGTGGCTGGCCCCTCCCTCACCCGCAGGGCTCCCCCAGCCAGGAGGTGATGTAGGGACGGCTGCCCCAGTGATGGGAGGGGTGGCCCTGGATTCCCTCTGGGAAACAGGAAGTTTAGGCTGCCCAGGTCACTGTCCCAGCCACAGGAAACCAGCTGACCGTCTCCTCTCCCAGCCCAGCCCAGGAATTGCTGTACCATCAACAGCCCAGTGCAGCTTCTGAGAGTGATTCTCAGAGCTGTCTGGGGCCCAAGATAGTATCCAGTTGCCCCATTTTATAGGATAGGCTGCTGAGGCCCAGAGAGGGGAAAGGGCTTGCCCCAAGACACACAGCTCCCAGAGGAGACAGGAGTAGAAC